TCTTCGGATACTGTGCTCACGACCCGAGCGTCTGGACCTTGTGGTTTCAGCTTCTGCCGCCTGTCGGCACAGATGGCTTGCAACGACTTCCAGTAGTCGCGATTGCGGTCGTTTTGCTCGAGGGTGTGGTAGGACGTGATGTCAGAATCCAGGTCTCGTAGCTGTGATTCGTCGAGCCCCTGCAGGACTTCCTCGGGAGAGGCCACATTGAGGTGCAAGTCGGCATCGTCGTCGTCGAAGACGTCCCGGTCGTCGTCGATGAAGCGCAGATTGAAGGCCAGAAGATCAATAGGCTTGGCTCGGCCTTCCCGAACTCGAATATCAGCCTTCTTCTTGGCTTGTTTCAGAACGAACTTGTCCTCATCGGCGACAAACTGTCTAGACTGCTCATCCTGCGTCATATAGCTCGAATTGTTGTTCTGACGTGGCCGCGAAGAAGGGGGAGGGTTCGAGGGTTTGGTGATGCGATTATTCGGGTCGCGTCGAGGAGAGGCTATGTCTCTGTCTCTTTCGCGATCTCTGCGGCTGGGTGATCTGCGCCCTGAGAGCATGGCTCTGCGGCCCGGGTCCATGTTTGCTGTCGTTGAGGGATTGGAGGATCGGCGACAACGGTTCTGGTGTCAGGTAGAATACTGTCTTTGTTGTGAAGGTCGTAAGTTGGGGGCGATCTCGTCGTCGCGAGCTGAGCGAGCTGCCTTGCGACAACAGGAAAGAAGGCCCAGGGCTTATCGGGGAACTTGTCTGACGGGGGCCAGCTCTTATCGCCATGTGACGTGAGGTTGATGCGTGGGTCCGGCTGATCTCCGGGCACTGTCTTCCGTCCTTACCCCATAAGGTACCCAAGACACACCGAGAATCACCGATCGCGCTCCTGCTCACCGGACGCTGGTCCAGATCGTTCACCTCGAGCCGCACGGGCAGTCCCCGAGAGCCAATCAGAATCGCTTTCTGCTTTCTCCGCCCCGCCGTGGATCCCTGAACCAATCGGGCGGGGCAACAGGGCCCCCGCTAAACCAGGGCCTTGGGAGCTGGGATGGCACGCTAGAGCTGATGCACGTCCAGATCTCCCGATTTCAGGAACATGATGACGCACAAGACATCGCGCCGATCGTGAACCTTTCTCCTGCTGGATCATGTCCAAAACCCCTTCCCACAGGCTGAAGAGCTTGATGGGAGGGCCGGACGAAAGTTAGAACCATGCAATATTCAATCAAACAGTTTAGATACAGTCTTTCGACTGGAAACACCCCAGCTTTCGTCACCTTATGCTCGCCTGTCGCGTCTTGCTCCCCAGCAACGCGCTTCCACCTCTAACTCATTCTTATACTCGTGTTGCGATTGCTACTACTGCCATTTCTCCCTTTGCCTCGCGCTTCAACTCGACTTCCGCCTTGAGCTTTTCTCAACTCTGCAACTCCCGCCTCCTCTGCAGTACTCGACAACCGAGCTCGATCAATCTCACAGCAGCGAATCCTCGCTCTCATCCTCGCTACTTCACCACGATGCCGCCCAAGCAGAAGCGCAAGGCGGCGCCGGCGGCGGAGTCCAGCGACTCTGGGAGAAAGAGAACCAAGACGGAGCAGAATGGCGGAGATCCCCTGCGCAAGCCGCACCCGTTCCACGAAGACGCTGAGAAGCATGGAATCGTCCTTCGGAAGTTCTATCCACACGAGATGAGCAACGACCGAGCACGCGCCTACAACGAGAACGAACTTCCCAGACCAATCGAGGAGCTCACCTCCGCTCTGGAGCAGACTTCCAAAACGAGAAAGGCAGTCAAGACAAAGAACGCCGTCGTCCATTGGTTCAAGATGGATCTCCGGACAACAGACAACAGATCGCTGTCTCTAGCGAGCGCTAAGGCCAAGGAAGCGGGCGTTGCACTGATCGCCATGTTCATTGTCAGCCCCCAGGACTATGAAGCGCATCTAACGGCCCCTATCCGCATCGATTTTATGCTCAGGACCCTGCATGTTCTGAGGGAGGACCTCGCCAAACTTGACATCCCGCTTTATGTCGAGACCGTTGAAAAACGCAAAAAGATTCCCGAACGGATCGCTGAGCTCATGGATCAATGGGAGGCCAGCCACTTGTTTGCCAATATGGAGTACGAGGTGGACGAGCTTCGCCGGGAGGGGAAGATGGTCCGCATGTTTGCCGACAAGGGCCTCTCGTACGAGGTCCTGCACGATACGTGCGTCGTCCCTCCCGGACTTTTGACCAGCGGGGCAGGCAAACAGTACGCCGTTTATTCACCCTGGTTCCGGGCCTGGGTCCGGCACGTCCACGAGAACTTGGACCTTCTCGAGCTATACGATCCGCCCGCGAAGAACCCATCCAGCGCAAGGGAGAAGTACGGCAAGCTGTTTGAAACGGAAATTCCGGAGGAGATTGTAGACCGGAAGCTCGACGACGACCAGAAGAAGCGCTACCGTGCCTTCTTCCCGGCTGGCGAACATGAGGCACGAAGCCGTCTGGAGAAGTTCTGCGAGGAAAAGGTCGGCCAGTATCACAACAAACGCAACATCCCTCACGACGCCGGGACCTCCACCTTGTCAGTGCACCTTGCCAGTGGGACCATCAGTTCGAGGACATGCGTGCGGTACGCTCGGGACCGCAACAAGACCAAGAAGCTGGATGCGGGCAACGAGGGGATACGGGTATGGATCAGCGAGGTGGCATGGCGAGACTTCTACAAGCACGTCTTGGTAAATTGGCCATATGTCTGGTACGTCGGACAACGTTCCCCTTTCCGTCCATGATTCGAAAGCCTTGATCACTAACAAGTCCCAACTAGCATGAACAAGCCTTTCAAGCCCGAGTACGCAAACATCGAATGGTCCTACGATATGGACGACTTCAAAGCCTGGAAAGAGGGCAGGACCGGATTCCCCATTGTCGACGCGGCGATGCGCCAGATGGTCCACATGGGCTGGATGCATAACCGATGTCGCATGATCGTCGCCTGCTTCCTCGCAAAGGATCTCCTTATTGACTGGCGCATGGGAGAACGAGTGTTTATGGAAACCCTTATTGATGGCGATTTCGCCTCAAACAATGGCGGCTGGGGTTTCTCTGCCAGTGTCGGCGTAGATCCCCAGCCCTACTTTCGCATTTTCAATCCACTCCTCCAGAGCGAGAAGTTTGATGCTGACGGAGACTATATCCGCAAGTGGGTGCCTGAGTTGAAGGGCATCAAGGGCAAGGCGATCCACGCTCCGTACGACCGCGGTGCGGGCGCCCAGGCGAAGAAAGCAGGCTATCCCGAGCCCATGGTTGAACACAAGGGATGTCGTGAACGAGCCTTATCGGCGTACAAGGCTGGATTGGGCAGAACCGACTTGTGAGCATTCCTGCTTGGGCCTGTGGTCGACCAATTGGTCTGTGTAAGATAGTGTTGCAAGTCTTGGTGGAGTTGGTCTCGACGTCGAGCAAGGTTATGTTACCCCTGAGTGGATAGAAAGCAATACCATAATGGTGGCTGTCGTGACCAAATACCTCACCTCGAGCATGACAAGTCCAAATAGTGTGAATCTCTGGGTGAAGACAAGTCTTTCGAACACCTCTCTCGAGACCTTATCATTCGTTCGATTACTGTTGATGTAACGCGTTCTTCTCGATTAGCCTCTCAAAGCCAGCATCTACGGTCAACGTTTGGGACGCAAGCGCGGTCGAATGGGCGCCGTCTCTCTCGAGAAGCGCGGGCCTGCAGCAGTAATCATCTGCTTATATTAAAACACTTATTTTACACCGCGCCGATCATCTAAATGAACTCTCATGTCTTTACGTTGAAGCTTTGCTTGATGTATCCATCTTTCGTAACGTTCATACATCCGCTACCTTCTCGCCTTTTAGACTTCAACCGAGGCCTAAGATGATGTTCGGACAAGAAGGTCCTTGGGTCGCACAGATCTACGACAGTCTCGGCAGTCATGTTCCGTCACCTGCATCTGGCATTGGCTACAGCCGTTGGTCAACAGTTGTTGGTGAAGTGGCTGCCGGCGTCGACGCCAAGATGCCAAGCCGTGAACTCTCCGAACGCTCAACCTGCGGGTTACCCAAGTCAACGCAAGACTCGTGACCACAAAGCGTATATTGACGACTTCCAAGTCAGCTTGATAATAATTAGAGCTGCTATCGCGAAACAGAATGTATGTATGTGAGTGAACCAGTTTCGCGAAGGCACTGGGACGCAGCGACGAGCCGTGGCGGGAGCATCCAACGGCGGGACCCGGGCCTCCTTACCCCTTGCGCCCACTCTCAACTTCATTTCAGTGGAATTCGTCACTGGTGGGATCGTGAATAAGGATTCATCACATTTTGCGGTACCGAAAAATGCTCGAGTCGTAGTCATGTGTTGTAAAGTGCGTTCCGATGGCCCGATGCAACCTCGGAGGCAGCTACTCCGGCTCGACCGCCCACCAAAGACCACGACTTTTCCGACATCGCAGGTCCCGTTCTTCCACTCCTGGAAATGAAATACACTCTTATTGGTCCCACGTAGTCGCATTTCTTCGAGGTCACCTGCCCCTTCTCCGGATTGTGTGATTCCAGTGAGCCGGTCCGACGTTGCTGTCGTCCTCACCACGAGTCTATGGCACCTGCGGCTCTAGGAATGCCGGCCCCCAAGTGGAAACAGACTAGGGTACCTAGTCTATATCGTTCTCTTCACGGAGTCTAGAGCCGGTGATATAAGGCAAATTCGCAAAAGGCAACATTGAGATTACCCCTGTGAGAACGGTAGCGAGTCGGGCGGGACATGCGACCCCACGGGGGCTCCCAACTTTGATGGTGAAAGAGGGAAGGTGCCACGGAGTAGAGGGTTCCATGAGCCGACGAAAATAAGAATATGGGCTAAAGGAAGCTTGAGAGGGGACATGCTCCTCTAAAGCCTGGCTTATAAGAAGACAGCCAAGTATATGTGCCGAGACATACTTCCCATTTGCTTCTTCATCCAGATACCCAAGAGTCGTAAAGAGTCTACGCAACTCTCACACATCATGAAGTACCTCGCATCTCTCGGAGCCCTCATCGGCGCCGTCGCTGCACAGGCACCCATCTACGGCCAATGCGGGGGCGAGGGCTGGAACGGCGCGACGACATGTGTCAGCGGCTCAGTATGCACTGCTACGAACCAATGGTACAGCCAGTGTCTTCCCGGAACGGCCGCGCCTTCGGTCACAACGACGCTCGTCACGAAGACGACTTCCACGGCCAAATCCACCGCCACAGCAACCTCTCCACCTGCCAACTCTCTCGGCTGGAAGTGGTTCGGTGTCAACGAGGCCGGTGGTGAATTTGGAGAGAAGACGCTGCCTGGTGTTTGGGGCACGGATTTCATCTTCCCTGACACATCTACCATTACTGTGAGTTTCCGAGAGTTCAGTCTAGGTAATGGGACTTGAAACTTACACTTGTTTAGACTCTTCGAGGCCAGGGTTACAACACATTCCGCGTCCAGTTTAAGATGGAGCGCATGACTCCAAACTCCCTGACGGCAGGCTTCAACACAGCCTACCTGGCAAACCTTACAACCGTTATCAACCATATTACCTCAAGCGGAGGCTGGGCTGTATTGGACCCCCACAACTACGGACGGTTCTACGACAACATCATCACTGATACTGGTGCTTTCCAAACGTGGTGGAAGAACTTTGCCACCCAGTTCAAGAATAATGATCACGTCATCTTTGATACGAACAACGAGTATAACACTATGGACCAGACACTTGTACTCAACCTGAACCAGGCCGCTATCAACGGTATCCGCGCAGCAGGAGCAACCCAGTATATCTTCGTCGAAGGAAATCAGTGGTCTGGCGCCTGGTCGTGGGTGACAGTCAACGATAACATGAAGGCCCTCACCGACCCGTTGAACAAGATTGTTTACGAAATGCATCAGTACCTCGACTCAGACAGCTCCGGTACATCGGCAACGTGTGTTTCTGCAACTATTGGCGTTGAAAGACTCACTGCTGCCACTAATTGGCTGCGCCAGAATGGTAAGGTTGGTATCTTGGGCGAGTTCGCCGGCGGAGCCAACTCCCAATGCCAGGCCGCCGTCAAGGGTATGCTCGACTACCTCAAGGCCAACTCAGACGTCTTCGCCGGAGCTCTCTGGTGGTCCGCGGGAGGATGGTGGGGTGATTATATCTACAGTTTCGAGCCTCCCTCTGGCACGGGTTACACGTATTACAACTCCTTGTTGAAGGGGTATGTTGCGTGAGGCGGTTGGAGATGCGGTACAGCCTTGCGTACTGTGTAACGCAAGGAAGGTGCTCTGGGGACGTCTGAAATGGCTGTAAGGTCATGCTTATACCTTAAATTTGCTGTACATATTCACTTCGTATATATGATTCGATTCTTACCCAGACATGACAAACGTCAACTCGAAGCTTGGAAACTAGAGGTTTGTCCTGATCACCAGCCACGAGGAGACTTGAAATTGGGAACAGAAGGAAGAGATTGGAAAGATATGAGTTGTGTTGTTGAAGAGTTTGACGCGGTGGATGCTAAACTATCACCGCACCATCGGGGGCCCTCCGGGTGAGGAGCCGGTATCTCGGCCCCACTCACACCGAGAAAGTGGATCACACCCGGACCAATCCGGCATGGACATTTTTCTGCCTTACACGTACCTTCAGCGATATTGAAACAAGACGCAATTCGATTTCATAATTCAATCTGATCGTTGAGGCTTTTATCTAATCATTGAGACTTCAATCTCATCGTCGAGATTAAAGCCATCAGGATAGAAAGGAAGTAGTGCAATGCCTTGCCGACTCGCGGTCCCTTCGTCAGGTAGCTGCAGGTGGATAGACAAATGGCCTGACACCCAGCACATCCCGGGAGGTTATTCCTAGTGTCACTTCGACCTCTATCACTGCCCGAATCTCGATTTCTATCTTTGTTATCGCCATCATCTCCACCATTACTCGTGTTCGCCTTTTTCTTTTGAATATCCTCTATCGAATACTTTCGAAGTGTTGGAATATGATATTGGTAGTGAAGGTAATGGCAAGGGTGAAGAGGACGTTCTGCTGTGGATCGACCTCTATGTAATTTTTTCAACGGTGAGAACTTCACGGAAAGTCCAGTCACCAAGCAATCACCTTCAATTCTCCAGCAACAGCCCCAAGACCACCATCTTCATCGGCGCTCAGTCTACAATCAGCCTATCTATGGCGTCCCGCCAAATGCGCCTAGGCATGGTAATTAGGCATGCCCTAATATAATTAGCGCACCACCAGCTCATGGCGTTTAGCTGACATCTGTAACTCCGTCTCGTAGAAAGCTCTCGGCTTGATCAAGGGTCTGCCATTCTGCTCATCAAACCACGATGTTGCTTTTGAAGAGAACCAGTGGGCAAGTTTACCTCCTGCGCCACCAGTCGTCAAAGTCATCTGCAGGCACATCACGTGTCGCTTGAAAAAGAAGTGCTGGAAGTTTTCTGCGTGTGACAAAATGGGAAATCTGAGGCCACTGTACGCGATCGCTCACGAGGATATCAAGACTGGGCCAGTGAAGTAGATCATCACTGATCCTATATCATAGTCTTAGAGCGATGATTCATGTATTCTATAGTCTTCATTCACAACTGAAGTCCTGAATGCTGCAAAGATCACTCAGGTACCTTTTGCCGATGTTCGAATCCAGACTGTGGCATCAATCTTCTAGAACTTTCAATTCTCTAGCTTCTGACTTTGAGAGGATCATGTGGTGCTAGCACTTCACCAGGGAATTTCCTGGCCGGTAATGACGTTGATAAACTTACCCGACGTACTTTCGCGGGTTGCGTTGTCGATCTATCAATATCTCAGTCAGCCAACCTAGTTCCCAATGGCTTGAAGAGAATCAGGAGACATCGGAACAACTTACCAAGTCTATCGTCTTCCAAGTACTCTCTTCAATCGTATGCGGTGCTTCTTTGAGTCCCATGATGCGCGCACCGATGTTGCCCATCTCCGTCTGAACATGGCTACGCCTTAGGTCAGCATGTTTTGTCGGCAACTGTCAGCTCCAGAAGCTGCTTACCCAGGGTGAATGGCAAATGCGACCAGAGAAGGGTTGCCGGCATGAATTGCTCTGCCATGAGCGAGTTGTAAGCGATCTAATTCCGGAGCTTGTCCACCATCTGACTTTTCCTAATCACTTACACGGTGAACCAATCCTGAGCGGCCTTAGACACGCCATAAGCACCAGCATAGAACGCCATGTACTTCTCGCAGTTGGTGATGGAGCCAGCACCGCTCGATACCGAAACCCACTTCGGCGAAGTGGACTTGTCGAGAAGTGGCTTGAAAGCCTGGAAGAGACGAATGGGACCCAGAGTGTTGACCTGCAGGGTGTACTCTACTGTTTCGATTTCCGCGGTGTCCAGCTTCTTGGGTGGCATGGGGCCCATACCAGCGTTGGCGATGATGAGGTCTACATGTTCAATTCCAGCTGCTTCGACATCCTTGAACGCCTGCAGAGGATCGGTCGATGAAATACTGTCGATGCCGACGAGGAGAAGGCGGGAGCCTTCGGCTTTGGGAAGTTTGTCCAAGTCTTGGGATGCTTGGGCTTTGGTATCCCGCACGCTACCGATGATTGTATGCTTCGGTCGAGCAAGGTACTTTTGCAGAAGTCCCTTCCCGATACCTGGCGCGCCATTAGGTTCGGGACGTCATTACCTCAACTTGATTGAGAAACAGCATCAAGACAAGGAAGAGAGCCCACCTTTATTGACTCCAGTGATGAGCACAATAGTTGAGGTAGACATTTCCTAGTCTTTTCAAATCTCAGAAGATTCAGGTAAATATGTTTCGAAGTAAAGAGTATTCAGGTTGGAAGCAGCGAGAGTGCAGGCAAAAGGGGTGTTTGGCAGATAGCCTGTAATCGAATCTCTTGTGATGATAGAAAATGTTGCTGTCTCTTTATAAAACCTCAAACCACTTACAAACTATTCGAAGCTACTGAGACAAAAGAAACCATCTAGTCTTTTCTTGGCTAGGTGTCGTTCGCTTTCGGAGTAAATTGCTGCCTAAGGTACATCGTAGTGAGGGGCTAACTGCATGTTTTTGTTGGAAATGCGGCACCAGAAGAATACTTGCTGCCTGTTTATCTGAAAACACATCCGAACCAGTCGTAATGAGGAAATTGGCGAGTTATGCGGGCCCCAAAACGGGTTTACTGTACTGTTGCCGCATGACCGTGGAGACAAGCTGCAGATGCGGTTTGAACGACAGTCCGGCTCGCGACCATGCACTGATGTGATCTTCGTCAATCGCAATGACTTGATAGAGCTAAGGAAGCTTATTCCTTAAACTTCTGCCTGCCGTCTGTGGAACTTGAGAAGCTTGATTGCACGTACCTTAGGCAACGATTTCGGTAAGGTACTCTCGTGCTGAACCTTGCGACATTGATCTCATCATCATGGAGTCCTAGGGCAAGTGATGCCGGAGAATGATAATTGCAAATCCTATTGTACCATTGAGTGCATTACATAACAACTATTCGATGGAACCAAGAAGTCGTGTTGTGCAACCCTTTACGACCTCATGTCACTGCTCCTCCAAGGCCTTATAAATGGCCCTGATGTAAGACTTTGCAGCGTTGTTTCCCAAACCCGACATGGACAGCTTATTCATCACATATGCGATGGTGATTTTCCTGTCTAGATCCATAACGACGAATGATCCACCGAGGCCTGCCCAGAAGCATATACGCCCGTTAGGCAGGAAATCAGCAACCGCCGTACCACCTTCGCCCGTAATGCCAAATCCAATACCGAAACGCATGGGCACGCCCATCACAAGATCAACCCCGTTGGATTGTTGCTCAAATATGAGGTTGATGGTATCTTGTGAGAGGAAACGTTTGCCGTCGACGCTGCCGCCGAGACTGATGATCGAGAGAATTCGCGTGAGCGCGTAGGCATTGGCGTGCCCGCTCCCGGCGAGGATGTCGCCCTGGCGCCAGGTAGGACCGTTAGCGAAGTCTGAGGGGAAGGGCATGGGGTTCATGGTCTTGAACGTGATGGAGCCCGGCTGGGGACCCATGCCGGGACCGAGGGGAGGCATAGGTGCGGGAATAACATCCGTCGTCCGGGGGAGTTCTTTGTCGGAAACGCCAAAGTGAAAGTCTGCGCCCAGTGGCTTCACGATCTCTTCCATGATGAAATCTCTTAGCGTTGTACCCGTCGCGCGACGGACGATGGCTGCTAGTAGATGGCCAAAGGTGAATGAGTGATATCCAGATGCTGTGCCGGGTTCCCACCACGGTGCCTGCGTAGCTAGCTTTGCTGCAGCTGCGTCGAGGTCAGAGATTTCTTCGAAAGAGAGCGGTCCATCGGCATCCCAGCCAGAGACCCCCGACGTGTGAGAGAGGATATGGCGGATCTCGATATCTTCTTTACCATTGGCGGCGAACTCAGGCCAATGCTTCGAGACCTTGTCGTTGATCGAAAAGACTTTTTGGTCGACGAGAATGAGGATGGCGAGACTGAGGACGGTCTTGGTGGAGGAGAAGATGGTGACGAGGGTGTTTTTGGTCCATGGCTGGGTGCGTTCCTTGTCCGTGTAGCCACCCCACAGGTTTACAACATCGTTGCCATCAATGTTGACAGCAATGGCGGCGCCGACTTCTTCTCCACTGTCGATATTGTCCTGAAGTTGCTTGCGTACCTCTTGAAACTTCGGGTCGCAAGTGCCGTGCGTTTGTGTTCGTGTTTCTGTCATGATCGCGAAACTGTTGACCAAGAATAAGCAGTGGACTTGGTCGAGTTGTAAGTTGTATAGTGGGACTGGAGTTGATTGAAAGGTCAATGATGAAGGCTGATTTGACAAAACTCATAGAGTACAGCGAGACATGTTTTTCTTTTATAGTTGATATGATGCCAACGACACCTACATTGTCGGTGGTTGTTCACTCCGAGCTATCACGGCTTCAGATGCAGGCTGACAAGCGCAGGTCTTCGTTCCACCCAAGAGCGTCTCGCAGTGCAGTGTCGGTAGCTACCACTGCCGACTCCCCGGCCATCGGAGCGGCGCGTGGCGCCTGAGAAGTCGGTGCTTCACCCGCCGACTGGCCGGACGGAGTGTGTCTGTTCTAGGGCCTCAGCAGGCACACAGGCCAGCGGTGCTTCTTGGCGCTCTGGGTGCCTCGCTGCTTACTGTCGCTAACCATTGTTGGCTTCAGGCGCAGGCCATGTGGATAACGCGCAACTTCCGAGGTGACCCGGAATTAACCCAGGTAAGAGTCTTTCCAGCTAGTGCATGGAGTATCATTTGATAACTGGTACAGAGAGTTTTCTCGAATTCCCCGGGCAAAGGTCAATGTAATGTTGCGGCGCAGAGCCGGTGGCATCAACCGAGTAACAACGGGTAGGCCTACCCTCGTTTCAACCTCCAATCGCTCAACGCTCACCCTTACCTCTGCATCATTCCGAGGAATATTGGCTTTTGCGATTTCTTATTCCCTTTCCTGGTGGCCGGCCGTGACAATCAAAGGGGAGGACCCTTCAACCGAACGTTTCTGGATCTCTCCGCTGAAGGCGAAGCTTTTGCCTGGCTTCACCACGTTACCCTCAGCTTGGAAGGACCATACGGCCTCCCTGGCTAGTTGCCTGAGTCCATGTAGTTACAAACAGTGAAAGCAATCACATCTTCAGGTAGTAGAGACTATTACAATGGAAGGTAGCATAATAGTAAGGACAAGATAGAAAACTCGGCAGAGATGGAAAAGGACATGCCGGAAGTGCAATCGCAACCCCTTAGTCGAATGGCGTCAATTGAACTAGATGCCTATTTTCAAATAGCCCTCTTGCGAACCCTTAACTCCGTCAAGATACCGTATACGATAAATTCAATAACATCGCCAGAGCTTTCGTTTGTTTACGTTCATAAATGGAAGGTAGGATCTGGGTACTTGATTAGTGCTGGAAGAACTTGTTGGAGATAACTGTGATCGCGATGACTGGCTACTTTTGTTGTGGTTTAAGGTAACAAAAATACTCTATTCGAGGTACGTTTATATCGCTCGTTCGGTCCGCGCAAAAGCACTTCCACAGAACTGACGCTTTTAGACAATGTAAGGCAATTGGAGAGAGGGTGTCGCGCTCTCCGATGAGCTGAGTAAAAATGTAGTAATTACATCTGTAGTACTCCATACACCGTGGCTTCTCGTTGTCTTCAACTATGGCCGGCTTCCGCTTTTGCGCTGGCATGCGGTTGTACTTTGCTCCTTTGCGCCACGGCTGCTGACCTCCTCGGTTGCCGGCGCGTTTGTCTCTTGGGTGCCCTGCTTCAAGCCGACACCGCCCTACAATGTGCTTGCCCAGCGCCGCAGGCATCGTATCGTCAGCTTTCCCGCACAGCACCAGGCCACGCACACGCACTGCTGCTTTTTCTCCCATGGGCGATGGCCAAGCCGTTGGGTTTGGACTAGATCTTGCCCTGGGCGATGTTTTCAGCGGCACTGTCGGTTGGCGATGGGGGTTTCATGCTGCTGCGATCCTTCATGTCGTTGTTTTGGCCCTTGCCCTGTGGGCACTTCCAGTTAGCGTTGATGACGCCGCGCCTTTGGGCTGGAATACTCTTATTCGCCTGCGAAAAGAGCTGAATTGAATTGGAGCATTGATCATTAGCACGAGCCTGGCCTTCGTGTCCTATGTCCTTGGTATCGTTACGGACTCTGACGCGGCCCAGCATATGCGTCAACCGCTCAATATCGTGCTCCTCAGCACAGTTGTGGCTCTCGTGCCTGTTTACATCTTTTGAATGCACCACCAAAAGCTAGGAGGGCGGCCCCAACGAGCTATGGGAAAACGAACCATTTACCTCGGTATGCATCACCGTCTTCCTTGTTTGGGGGGGCACTTAACGCCAGCGAGCAGCTCACGGCACTGTGCCTACAGGATGTTCGTGGATTCTCGATGTTAACGTCGTCCTTGTACTTCCTTCCAGCACCCGTCTGCGGCCTTCTCACGAACATCGCCGTTGCGGTCTTTCTGTCACGTCTCGAGCATCCTATGCCGTCACGGTTGCTTGTTTTGGGGGTGGACTTCCTCCTGCGAGATGGGGGCGACGTAAGATTGTCGAACCAATAAGAGTTGGCTGCTGCAGTGAGCCATGATGATTCATTGTGGGTATTCAGGGCTGCTAGGTATGACAATGCTTGAATAGAGCATGTTACCCAGTACTTATTTACCTGCAGCCCCGTGTGATTAAATACCAGGGATGACATGACGGGCTTGCAGTCAATTCCTTCCGACTTCAACTCACTCGACATCACCACATCACAGACCCCTTCGCATCTCCAGCGACACAGTTGCGTTTTCTGACATTTGCATACATCAAGTCACTTCAAAAAAACATGGACGAGCCTATCGAGATTCTGGGCCAGCAGCCCACTCTCAAAATCTACACCCAGATAGCGGTCTGCTTTTCCGTCGAAGATGACCAATCCTATGCAAACATCACCAAAACTCTGACAAGCGGTCTTGAGCGACTTACCGCCGGGTTTCCCTGGGTTGCAGGGCAGATAATCAACGAGGGCGCGAGCGAAGGTAACACAGGCATCTTCAAGATCGCGCCACTGGAACCAACCCCGCCCTTGATTGTCAAGGATCTGAGAGAGGACCCATCAGTATCGTCGATGAAAGACATGAAAACGTCAGGCTTTCCCTTCGCCATGCTTGACGAAAGCATCGTCTGTCCTCGCCCGACTCTACCCATCGATCCCAATCTAGTAGGGAAACCTGAGCCAGTTTTCATCACCCAAGCTACGTTCATCAAAGGCGGGCTCATTCTCGCATTCCTTGGTCACCATCAGGTGCTCGATGGAACCGGGCAAGGACAACTCATCAAACTCCTGTCCAAGGCGTGCAAGGGTGAAGACTTCACCGAAGAGGAAGTAGCAACTGGCAACCTGACACGCCACAACATCATTCCCCTCCTCAAGGACTTTGAGGGTGGGCCCGAGACTGATGCGATGATCATCAAGCCCTCAGCAACGCCGGCAACGGCACCTGCCACATGCAGCTGGGCCTACTTTGACTTTTCTGCAGCTTCTCTTTCAGCCTTAAAGTCATTGGCTTCGGAGACGGTCAAGTCAGGCTATATCACAACAGACGATGCCCTTACTGCCTTCGTCTGGCAGTCAATCAGTCGCATTCGTGTGAAGCGCTTACCGAACGACGCGGCAACTAAGCTCGCTCGAGCTATCAATGTGCGAGAATATATGGGCATTCCTCAAACTTTCCCAGCCCTCATCCAAAGCATGACGAACAACTCCATGGCGATTAAGGACCTCATCGAAAGACCTCTAGGGGAAGCGGCATCTCAACTCCGATCAACTGTAGATCCTGCAGCCTTGAGCTTCGGAGTGCGGGCTTTGGCGACACTCATGAACCAAGCGGCCGATAAGAGTGTCTTCTCATTCACCGGGACCCTTCATCTCGATAGAGACTTGGCCTTTAGTTCCTGGGCGAAACTCGATCTTTATGAGCACGACTTTGGATTGGGATTGGGCAAGCCTGAGTCGGTCCGGAGACCACAATTCACACCCGTGGAGAGTCTTGGCTACCTGCTTCCCAAGGCACCAGATGGCAGCATCGCACTAGCAATATGTTTAAGGGACGAGGACATGAATGGGTTAAAGAAGGATGAATTATGGTTGAAGTATTCAAAGTACATAGGAAAGTAATTATCGGGCATTCCAGGCCCTTCAACGACTGCCATTCTGTCCCCCCTAATCTTGATCTGATACCACAGGAGCAACTACCCCTCGTAGACGTAGCAAAACGGAGAGCCACCGATTCCAATCGTGCTCATAAGGTCCCTCAGCTTTCTTGGCTCAGCCAAAGGCCGAAGATCAACCAGGTCGTCCAAAGTGCCGTTGCGGCTCGGGGGAATGTTTTGCATCGTGACAGTACCAAAGATATCCTGCCTGTTCTCCCAGTCAAGCATCTGCCAGATCCAATAAACACGGTCGATCTGGCTGTGGTGCAGGAAGAATGCTGGGTCAGCCGGAGAGATGAAGAAGTTTTTGCCAGAGTCGCCTCCGAGCTGCCAGTGGCCAGCCGCATGAACTCCTAGCTCAAAGGGGTTGATGTAACGATCATCACCATTCAAAAAGCCCCAGAACGACTCGAGAGTGTTGTGCTCAGTCAGAAGGAGCGTCGTGTTCCGAAATGTGGTGTGTCGAGAAGAGACGTGCTTGTTCAGGTCTCGCTGCAGGCAGCGCGGGTCAGCAGCGAGAGGAGTGTCTGTGTTCTGAACGACGGGGAGGTTGACCGTCATTTTGGAGAAGGGGCCCGACATGACACACCCACCACCAGATCCGGGCTCGAGCTTGAGAGTTACGTTGGTGTAAGCCTGGTGAATTTCGAGGCCTTCATGAGGAACAAAGGCGCCGTTGCTGCCGATGGAAGTGTCCGATCCGTCAAAGAGAGGTGACAGCGTAGGGTCTTCCGCATCATAACCCCATTCCCAGAAGGGAAACGTACCTAAGATTGTGTCAGATGTATCCTGACAGATGGTCAGGCAATAAGCCACAAATGCTTACCAGTATAACCGCATTCGCGGACCTTTTGCTCAAACACGTCTGTGTACAGGCGATGCCAGAGCTGGAAATTAGCCTAGGCAGAAGAGCAAGAGAAACGTTAGCTCTCGGCACAACATCGTTTTTCTTACACCAAATTTGCGCTCTTACCGTTCTGTGAATGACAGGAGTCTGCTTAAGGTGGATAGCCACAAAGTCATCATACAAAGTCTTTGCAGCAGGCATCACTCCCGGCTCATACAAGCTCGGGGAACTCTGCATACACTCAATAGCAGCTACAAAGGCTCTCCTCTGCTCGGCAGGGAGTGTTCTCCATTCTCGGCGGACGCGAACCTTGTCCGGCGTGCATGTTGAGTTTGCAAATGCACCCGAACGTTGGTGCAATTCTTTAGAGTTAGCCAGAGCCTGTGCAGCAAGTTGAGCAAGGGCGTCGCCGTTGTTGATGGCCTCTTGGCTAAAGTTGTAAGATGGTGCCGCGGCCTTGACGGGGAGGAAGAAGGAAGTGGCAAATAAAAGCACCGAAAAGGCGCTGAGAAGAGAAGGACTCATGGTGAGAAAAGAGTGGACGCCGAAAAGTGCTCGACTGCAAGAACTTCAATGGCCTCTAAGCGCGGTCAATGATTGATTATTAGGCTGGTTGATGAAAGATGGCACGGATAATGGAGCGGACTCCAAGGTACTTAAGTTCAACAAGATGACAGCAAAACTGTATAAAACCTCCCGATATCAAGTGCCCGCGGGTCCAAGGAAATCCATCCGCGATCCATTTGGGATATGACTAGTTGCAGTTGCGGTGACAGCATCATCCTGGGCCAGGGTCGTGAATCTCGTGGCGTACTCTACTAGTCTTTGGAGATGCAAATTGCAACATCGCTTACAGGATCCCGACTCAGAGTACGGAAGCGAGGATTGCGCGTGGGTTCTAGCATGGAACCTTGTTATCTGGGGCACCACCCTCAAGCCTGGTCAAGCGCGCCGAACAGCCGCAATGACACAGCCAAGTTCACGGCTTGAATTTACGGAAACTTTTTTGTCAGCGTGGTCTAAGGTAGTGACTCGCGTGTGAACATAGACTGCATTATACTTGTCCAGGGTTCTAGTCCTCATAGAGCAGGTCAGAGTTGAAACCCAGGCTCTCAAAATAACCTTAATTTCATCGCTAAGGCTCTTGGGTGTAATTCCTGATGCAAGGTCACCTTCAATTGCAAACAAGCATTTTAGCAGCCGAGAAGTATTGGCACCTATTTTAGGTTTGTGAAACTGGAGTTGATAGAATAAGCTCTGTGATGGTCGGGAGCTTTTCGGTTCCGCAGCTCGGGGTCACCAATGCTTCTTAGCATTTTGAGTTGCACCCAAGTGGGGAAGCAATCTATGTGAGTATTATCACCATGACCTATAGGAAAGCTAGTCATATTGTTAAAAATGACTTTCCATATGGATAGCTCCATCCCTGACACAGATCGCCTTGTTTAGGGCTAAGCGCCAGGTTTTTCCTATAAGTTGATTTCTAGGCAGTCAAGTCCGTCGAATAATAGACTAGCTTGGCTATCGCTTAGTCCAGTCTCGCCAACCTCCGAATACAGTGGCACTGCAGGCTAAGTTCCTGACGCTTCCATGCTCGCTTGACAAGATTTTATGTGGGCTGGAGACATGATGGTCGCAATGGAGACTTCAGCTTCACAAGTTTTCTGAGGACTTATCCAAAGCTCTCTGGCTCGTTCTCATTGTCAGGATACGAGTCACAAGGTAACATGGTGCAACATCATCATATTTGACTGACTCATTGATCACGTAACCACGTTGGAGGATCTATCATGGGAACTTTGGTACAGTGGCTAGGAGATAAGAGTGCTTCAACTCGCGCTATGAGTGGCTCACCTGAAGGAGGGTATGGATATCCGTGTAATAAAACTACAAACTCCCTACTCTATCCCTTTACTCCTAATCACTGCTGAGTGACACTTCTCTAACCCCCCAGAAAGAAGTTCTTTCTTCTTGTTCTCTTCTTGTTCATTACTTCACAAGCAAACTGAATAAACATTTACGAAGTGAAATATCAGCATAATCGCGTTATCAACTCAAATAGAACGAAAAGAAGAGCATAAGATTCGGAACTTCATACTTGAAACGGTTCGCTCGGCCTGCAAACTCCTGGCATCATCGCCATTCTAGTTCCTCACTCTAGCGCTTTCCCATGCCGCACCTAGCCAAGCACTCTTCGGATCCGAGGGCAGCTCCGGTACCCACACCAGGAACGCGATTTCCACTTCCTTCGCTACTCTTCGATCCCGAAATGCCTCCGAAGGCAGCCTGAACCATGTCATTGGGCAACTTGAAAAGGCCGTTGAGTATACTCAAGGTGCCCGTATCATCGGAGACAAGGGCTGAAATAAGCGTGGCATAGCCGCACCCTGCAAGAAGGGGTTACAATTAGCCAAGAGCTTATTCGTGCCGCCCCGTCGTAAACCATAAATATACCTGTTCTACGTGGGGTGGAGACTGCCCCTGGGGAAGATGGTCAGCTGTCCTGGCTTGAGTGTCGTAGTGGCTGGGTTAGCACCATTCTCTTGAATCATCCATGTCTGAGTCTGGCCTTCAACAGCGACCACAAAATTGGTGGCACGGGGGTGGTAGTGAGGCGGCAACATAGCACAGAGCCCAAGAGCGAGCCAGGTGACAGTCAGCCCATGACCAGTTGCCGTGGAGAAGTTGCTGCGTTTGCGTTCACGACGCCGCCGGGAGAGTATGTGAAGTACTCGTGTTTCTTGAAGTCAAATACATAGTCATTTTTGACGAGCTGCAACTTGTCGAGCTCAGTAGCCGGTTTCTTTCTTTTTTTTTTTTTTGCTTTGTGTTGATATCAGGGCTCACTGGCTGGTCTACTGCAAGGGCAATACCCGTAACGAAGGAAATGTAGAAGATAATGATCAACATTGTGCTAGAATGCAGCGTGAAGGATATTGTTGGCACCTTTGAGACAGGTATTTAATGAAGTAGAACGAAGCTGTAGAGTATTTCACATTTGAGACACTGTCAAGATTCTCGATAGTCAACATCTATTTTATACTTCCCAGAAATGCAGAAACTTGTGAAGATTGCTCAGCTTAATGTTCGCCCCCAACTGAAGGATCATCTCAAAAATGCCAGACGAGTGAGGCTGGAGGAGCCATCGACGTCAATTGCAGGCACAGGTACTAAGTGGGAGCTAAAGAGAGGCATGCAGATGCTACGCTGTCATAAAGATCCTTCAGGAGTCGGGTGAGATATTAGTGTGGTGTGTTTTTCAATCGCTGAGATCAACTTATCATCCTCCTAGGCTCAGGCCCTCAACTCCTTGCACATCAGCGCGAGAACAGCCTAGCAGGCTAGGAAGTGCGGTTGCACTTATCACATTGTCTACTCAATTGGTCTATGGAAACTACAAAATTTCATGATACTTGGCGATATTGACATTATGGCGGATGAATGCGCATCCCCTGCCTCTGATGCTATCAGTCAAAAATGATTTCAGAGGCTGAGACAAGAACCATGTGTGGCACCAAGGTACAATTAAGTAGGGGCTAAGGCACCCCTCCAGGCCGGTGGTCGAGGATAATGTGCTGGGATTGGGCCATCAAATACTTGCAGTCATCTTGCGGCTTGCTCCTCCGCTAGACTCAATTGGAGCGTTCGTCTTGAAGTTCACCCATGACGAAACTACGGACGAGCTGGCCTTCGGTTGGTGGTTGTCCTACGAGCCTTGTAGACCTTGAAATCATTGTTCATCTCGGAGGACTACAGGATGGGGTACGGCCCAGGAAAGCCCGAGACAAGCGCCCTCTCTATAATTTTTATATGGCTTCCCGAAATTTGGCCGCCTCGCCGCACCTAGGTAGTACCTTATTTCTCGTGTTTGAAAGGCCTAAATTTGCGATCGGTTTGGTCTTGGGCCGTTTCCGTCGGTGCAAACAGATCGACCCCGGGCTAAACTGTTTGTGACTAAGGCCCCAGACAAAGACCAGTCATCAACTTGGGAGCTGGCGCCTCTTTCCATTGTCTGGTCTGATCCCCAGAAAACCCACAAATCCAAATGGCCCCGTGGAGAAGCTCGTTCGGATCATGTTCAAAGATCAAAGAGATGACGGGCGGCCCTACCGAACCCTTACCGCTCTCGTGGAGGCGAATGGGTCTAGGTGCAACACCAGGAATAGACGTCCTAGTCTCTTCGTCGACATATAAACCTACATGGCACGGAGAGCTGGACCACGAATCTCATCTTTCGAGGCAAGCTCACTCACATTCATTGATAACATGTGGTCAAATATCATTCTTTCTTTGGCTCTTGGCAGCATTCACTCGACCGTGGCTAAGCCGTTGCCCGAAGCAGCAACCAAACCCGGCACATCGAACAACACAGTCCAGGGGTGTCTCAACGCCGCCAAGGCACCAGTTGCCGTATCCTCATCCTCAGATTGGTCCGACGATATCCGGCCCTACAACTCTCGTTTGCAATACACACCAGCCGTTGTAGTAACGGCTACCGATGTCAGCCATGTGCAGGCCGCCGTGAAGTGCGGAGCGCAGTATAATCTCAAGGTCACAGCCCGGGGCGGCGGTCACAGCTATTCTTCGGCCGGACTCGGCGGCGAAAACGGCCATGTGGTTGTTTGGCTCGACGAGATGTACGGCGTGACGTTGAATTCCGATAACACTGCGACGGTGCAAGCGGGCGCGAGGCTCGGTCACATCGCGACGGAGCTGTTTGATCAGGGAGGCCGGGCCATCTCGCATGGATCATGTCCTGGGTAAGCGTCAAAATACATTGGTCGGCTGTGAAAGGGAGGCTAACACCAAGCTGGCAGTGTTGGTATGGGACATGTCTTGCATGGAGGCTTCGGCTTCTCATCTTCCATGTACGGCCTTGCGCAAGATTGGATCCTTGAGGCGACCGTAGTCACGGCCGACGGAAAGGTCGTCAAAGCATCGCAAACCCAGAATACGGATCTTTTCTGGGCCCTCCGTGGCGCAGGATCGTCTTTCGGCATCGTCACGGAGTTCAAGTTCAACACCTTCGCAGCTCCATCAGTTGTCACATGGTTCAAGGTCTCATCACCATTTAAGAAGGACAAGCTGGCTTCGGCTCTCGTGGCTCTCCAAAAGTATGCCCAGAACGACAAGCCTATTGAGTTAAATATGCGGGCCGTCGTCACCGCCGACAGCACCGCGTTTGACGGCCTCTACTACGGGACCGCAGACCAGACACGCGCTGTGCTCAAGAAGTTCCTCTCACCCCTGGGTATCGACGTCGGTGGCGCAACCATTACCCAGACTGACTGGATCGGCCAGCTGGAGCACTACGCCGGCTCAGCGGCCCTTGATGAGACCGGACCGCAGAGCTTATCCGATACTTTCTACGCCTCGAGTCTCATGACCAAGACGGTCTCGACTGCGGGCTTCGCTGCCTTTGCCGATTACTACCAGAACACAGCAAAGTCGACGGACAGCGGCTGGTTCGTCCTCATCGATGTCCATGGTGGCAAAACCAAGACAGCCCAGGTTTCAAACTCAGCGACAGCTTACGCCCATCGTGATAAGGTGCTCATGTGGCAGTTCTATGACTCTTCTGGAAGTTCTGCGTACCCAAAGTCCGGATACAAATTCCTCAGCAAATGGATGGCATCAGTAACAAACACCATGGCAACTAATGAGTGGGGTCGCTACGTGAATTATGCCGACTCCCAGCTCAGCAATGCGGATGCACAAGATCAGTACTACCGGGATAATCTGGGGCGTTTGAAGGCTATCAAGGCTAAGCTTGATCCCAAGAATTTGTTCACCTACCCGCAGGGGGTGGGCTCATAAGTCATGTGCACACATGTAACTACCTAGCCTATTTACTGTCACATTAGTTCCACGCTGGGGCGTGTATGAGAATTGTTTTAATGAGACAAAAAAGCATGGATCATTAGCACCAAGCACTGAAATATCATGATGTAGTTTTTGGTATTAGTAAATTAGGCAGCTCTCGTCGGAGTTCTTGTCGGACGTATTACATAGTCCATGTTCCGGTTTACTCCCCCAGCTCTTTTCGATTCTTCTGATTTGAAGCTGAGATTGACCTGTGCCATGTGTGCCGGGGACAGATCGTTCTCGCTGAAGAACATTTGCAGATCGTTGAGCGACTCATCCCCCTCTCCCACAGCCGACTTTGTCCCACCGGTGCACAAAAGTGCCATGCGTTCAACGGCTTTCAAGTGCTTTTCGGCTACGTCAGGTTCTCCAACCAAATTCTGGAACGATTTGTGTTAGCACGTCATGATTGTACTCACTTGATACTAGGCATGTGATCTTGAACCCTGGGGATATGGTGATCTCTTACAGCGTCTGATGCCAAGCAAAGGCTCTTGGCCATGGTGAGGTTACTGATATTGTTTCCCTCTCTGGTGATTGTTGCGTTGAGCTGGCGTATGGTCTCCATCTTATACATCGTCATCACAGGGTCATTGTAGCCCTCCTCTCGTACAGTGGCAAGGTGTCGCATAGACCAGAGCAGTACCAAAGAAAGCATTCCCGGATCGGCGAGGGCTGACTGCACCCAGTAGGTCGTCATCATCTTGCAGAATGCCGTTCGTTCACCTTGCACCATCACTTCCATCTCTGGCAAACGGATCAACTCTAGTAACGCCATGCTGCGTAGGACTGCATACAGACATAGTCAGCTTTTAGCCTTGGCACAATCAAGAAAAACAGCATGCTCTTTCCGAGGTATGAGCTGCAGTCTGTGCATGCAAGCAACGGGAAGGGCGGGAGGGAACAGGGAAAGGTTCCTTTATACCGCAGCCCGTCCTTTTATACTTGCAAGGTTGACTGCAGTCACGGCCCGCAACTTCTACAGGCTGATGTACATTATCAGTCAAGCTTTCAGGTCTCATACTCACAGTGGTCAAGAAGTCCTTGCTCCTGGATAGTGACCCTCCTGACGAAGGCGTTGAATGGATCCGTTCTAGCGGCGCCGAGCATTGAAACGGGGCTGCCGGCGAGAAGGGGGGTGTGGCCAGAACGCGAGCCGTTTTTCAGGGTCGTGACAAGCCACAACCTCACAGATTGAATCGATGGGCGAGCCGGGGAATCTTCGATTTGGCTTTGCTCAGGAGGTGTGGTTGACTTCTGATAGGCGGCCACCCGCTGCTGACGGGCTTTTGGATTGCGTGCGGCGTGCGATCTGACCTTTTTCTTCCAGGCCTTGGTCTCGCTTGGATGGGTGATGGGCACAAAAAGGAACCCTTCCTCCCGGCTCCTGCCGCCGCCCTTGCTCGCGGGCGGCATCGCGGGCGAAGCCGTGGACCACTGTCGTCGAGAGGCGGACGAGTAAGGGCTGGACGTTGAACGACCTCGGATGGCGTACCCTTCGTACCCCTTCCCGGTTCACCTCGAAAATGGAGTCAAAGACCTTCGTTACCGAATAGCAAGGCAGCGAGAGGAACCCGCTAATCGAAGTGAACCGTAGGGCCGGGACGAGAGGTACGAGATGGGTGACTTGAGCGAGCTTCAGTGGCTCGGGAGACGTCCGTGATGATCTGGGGACAAGGTTGGCATTTGCCTATTCCAGCAAACGCTCGGGTCACACAAGGGTTTCTGGTGCACGAGATGAGAGGAGTGGAATCCTGACTGACGGGAAGGGTGTGTGGCAGAATGGAAAGAGGAGGATGTCTGAAGAATGCCAGAAGCTGACTGTGTTGTCGACATCTGGCTTCGTCTCCGGCCCCCCTCCTCATCTTCTCCCGCTGCCTCCTCCCCTCCACCGCGTGCGGTCTTTGAACGAATGGACAGCCCTCGACTCCCTTTGCTTGTTGGTTCCAGGTTGGTTCTGGCCATGACACAGAACTTGACCAATCATGTATCTCGCCTCTTCAACCCGACCCCGGCAACAAAGAGCAGCCGCTGGATAGCGTCTAGAGTCTCCACGAATCAGGATCTCAAGTTATCCAAACGTCCCAGCGATGGTGGGGAATGCCAAGGCCAGCATTGTCCCGAATCGGACGAGACCCAAGGGGCAGCGGCTCCATCCGAACCCCCAGTCGTCTCCGCTCCCGTCGGGCTCGGCACCGGTCTACGGGTTGATTACATGAGCAAACGTGTGATAAGTTTCCGAGAAGGGAGACGTTGGCCTGATTGTGCCTAGCAAGGATACAGTGACGCGGCACGCCAGATCGATGAATCCTTCGCGCTGAAGATAATAAGTACAACGGCGAAGACAGGAGAAAACATCGTACAGAGAACCTGGTCCAGATAAAGTGATTCGATCACCAAATTCCCGAACTACAACAAGTTGAAGAGAAAAAAGCAGCTCAAGATGTCTGGAAAGTGGGACCCCCTCACTGATATGCCCAACCTCGAAGGTAAAGTGGTTGTTGTTACCGGTGGGAAGTATGTTGTGGACCCAACCGAATGAAAAGCAAGCAATTCTTTTGACACACCTGCAGTGCAGGCATTGGCTTGTCAACCGTCAAGTACCTCGCCCTTCGAGGTGCCAAGGTTTACTTCACAGCAAGATCGAAGGCCAAAGCCGACGAGACTCGCACAGTACTGGCGGCCGAAAATCCTGCGATAAATACCGCCAACCTCCACTGGCTCCCCTTGGACTTGGCAGACCTCAAGTCGGTCGCCTCCGCTGTTGAAGAGCTGAAGAGCAAGGAGACCAGGGTGGACATTCTTAGTGAGTCGTCGTTGTGTTTATTAAGAGTTGAGGGCAGAAATATGCTGATAGGATACCCCTCAAAGTAAACAATGCCGGTCTAGCCTCCGGCACAACGGAGACGATGGGTCCTGGGTGGGAATGGCACATGGGGGTCAAGTAAGTGCTCGTCAAACCCACGTGGACATGCTTGCTAATATTTCGTGCAACTAGCCACGTCGGGCACTTTGTTCTCACCAACGGCGTACTGCCGCTTCTCAAGGAAGCCACAAAGCAACCCGGGGCCGACGTCCGTATCATCACTCTCAGCTCCAACGTCAACTATGCCATGCTGCCATCAAACTACGGCTTCACCTTTGATTCCGCTTCTTTCTTGACGAAGCCTGTGCCTTATTACCCGTGGCAATGGCGCTATATCATTAGCCGTATTTTTGTGGTCGACATGATTCGCTACGCTGTCTCTAAGGTCGCCAATCTCCTTTTCGCCCAAGAGCTGCAGCGAATTCTGGATGAGCAAAGTCTCCCGATCCTGTCCATCTCAGTGCACCCCGGTGGCGTGGCCAGCCCCGGTAGCAAGGACATTGGAAACTCCCTCTTCTCCCTTGTTAGATCGGCGGCCTTCCTCACCGTCGACCAAGGCGCCATCACATCCGTCTTTGCGGCCACTGCCGCCGAGGTTCGCGAGAATGCAGACAAGTACAAGGGTAGGTACCTAGAGCCGTTTGGAAAGATCGTGACACCGAATCCGGTCGCCAAGAACGAGAAGCAGGTGAGGGGTATGTGGGAGCACACCACAGTCGAGGCGAACAAGTACCTGGCGACGCTCGGCCTCGCACCACTTCAAGAATGGTAGTCGCGACGAGATGATGGCAGACGAGGTTTGCCCAGGCTTCCATACGAATGTTCTCATCTATCCTATTCTCGATGCACGCAAATACTCGATCAATCAACAGAACACAGTAGTGTATCAAATTTGGTTCGAAGCCTTCAGGGGGCATGCGGTTACGGAGTATACAGGACCCGTTTCCAGGTGCATGGGATAGCGTTCTCCGAAGAGGTGTGAAGCCGGTTGATATCATCTCGAAGGCACCAACGCGCGCACCCACTCTTCAGAAATGAGGTTCAGCATCCTTTCAGAGCATCAAGAAAGTTGAGAAAGAAATAATGACGTTTAGCAGCTTCCAGTAATTATTACATGACGTTTCACCAAGGATGATCTCCCGCGATTCCTGCAATCTCACAGCAGGATGCATGTTTAGTGCCTGGGCCATCACAATATGCCACGGTGATCCCAATGTTAACTGCTTTCCAGGCCAGTGTCCCACTGCTCGCAGATGCCTGTATCCCACGTGTTGAGACTGCCAGTGATCACACATCGAGACGGTCCGGCCCCGTCAGGTGAGTCGGCAAAGGCAGAATTCTTCCTCAAGGCGTCAGTGCGCCGAGCATTAGTTTGCTCCCAGCCCGAGGCACTAGGTTGAAAATGGTGAGCTATGTTGGTCTAATTCGGGATTGCTAATTTTGTTCTGCCCGTGGCTCCTCTTGAAGAATTGGAGAGGGCGGTCTTGTGGCGGCCTCTTGTCAATTGGCGCCGAGATAAGCTGTGCCGTAATCTTCTTTTCATGTTCCGAACAGGAATCCTCATCGTCGTTTCTTCACTCGGAGACTGAATCGACGATGAAGTTGAGGGTGCGAAACGACCTACAAGATGGAAAACATGTTGTTTACATCTATCCGTACTCGTTGTTAAGATTTCCTCTTCCCGCACAAAGACCGAAGGGCCATAGCATATCGCGCTCCATAAACACGAGTCTGCACGTACACCCTCAAGCAAGCTATGAAGACTTTGCACGCTGTAGTGCCTTGGAAGTCGCTGCTAGCTCCCGCCCATTGATGCGGCACTCGGTGAGGTCTCTTTTTGATCTGCTGTTCTTTCGCGTGGCGCCGAAGGGGAGGAGGCGCAAAACGACACTCGTGAAACCATGGTGGCTTGTCGATGCTCATGACAACGGCCGTGATGCATGGGCATAGAATACTTTCGGGTCTGTGTAGAAAAGTCAATGGCCTCCCGCCACGCGACGCGCTTTCGTCGTGATGTTTGATGGTCTTCTTTTCCGCAAAAAATTGTTCTTCTTTCTTCGCGCCCAGCGCTTTTCAGTTCTTTGCTGTCGACATTGAGTGTCGACATGATTCATCAATAACATTTTCTACGCCTTTTCGAGTTCTATACGTCAAACATGAATAGCGAACTCGCCAACGGGTCGGATCTGCAGGTCGTCAGAACGGGAGGTGGTACCGGTGATAAGAGGAGTTTGGTGACGGTGGTTTGGGCGGTCAACCTCACGGCTTTCGTCCTCGTCGGAATAATAGTGCCTTTGCGGATTATCGTTCGCTGCACTGTAACACGGAATTTCTTCAGCGACGATGTACTTGTTATCATTTCTGCCCTCTTCACTTTTGCAGTATGCGCACTGCTTCCTATAGGTATGTTCTCATCCGTCAGAGATAAAATCAAGTCTGTTACTTACAAAGATGCCAGCGACCGACCTAGGACTTGGTCAGCACTCCTGGAATCTCGATGCTGAATTCCTTCCTGATAATACCAAGAGTTTACTCCAGGTATGGACCGTGAAGCGAACGCACTAGGAAGACAATCTCTGTGGGAAAGAAATGACTGACCGGCCTTGTAGCTCATCTTCATTGCTAATACTTTGTATCCTTGCGCAATCGCGTTCACTCGTCTCTCAGCCATCAGCTCTTTTCTCAGACTCATAACACATAAAAGCGCTCGCTGGATCATGTATGGTGCAGCGTTCGTCACGGGGGGGTTCTGCTTGGCATCCGTGTTTGCCGTCATCTTCCAATGCAAGCCCATCACGGCGGCATGGGATTCGTCGACCGGCAACGCTACTTGCTACCCTTTTATTGACTTTCTTCATGCCAGCGCGGCGTTGAACATTGCAATCGACATGCTGCTGTGCACCGTGCCCTTGCCGTATATATGGAACATGAAAATGACAACGGGCAAGAAAGTTCTGCTCACGATTCTCTTTGCCTTTTCTGGACTGTGAGTTTTAATAGGATAGTGTTGGACGGAGAGGAACGTTTGAACTAACAAGAGACTCAGCTCATGTGCTGCGGCAATCCTCAAGCTTGTCAACCTAGAGCCTCTGAACGACTCTGACTTGCCCTGTAAGTTTTTCTTGCATCCCAAAATAGAGAGAATTCAGACATTGACCACTGTCACAGACAACTGGGTCTCCTGGGTGCTCTGTTCTATCGCAGAGTGCACCATCGGCATCGTCTGCATGTCAATACCGCCGATCATTCCTCTCTTCACCAAGTGCTCCTGCAACAAGCCGCCGACGCCTCGAAAGGAAAGAAGCAAGTCGTTGCGGTATACCTTGTTTGCTGAAAAGCCAACCTTCAGCCGTGCTGTGGCACCGCGAGTCATAAGGCCGATGGCAACACCGTGGAAGGATCAACCACTCGAGAGGACCGTCAACCCGGACTTCAAGCCAGATTTCCACTGGCTCAGACTGGAGCAGCAAGAGTATGGACGTTGTTGGGACAGAACGCCTCAGTCTACTAAGGTGGATCAGGTTCTTGGGATTGCGTTGTAGAAAGTTTC